TAACTTACAATTTTAAAATAATTTTCTTTTTCGTGTCTATCAGCAATGTCATTATATTTCTTTTTGTATCTGATTTTGTAATTCACTAATTTTAATAGTTTGATGACCTCGTAATTTGGTTCCCTAAAGAGATTTCTCTTCTAGAATTTTGCGCGTGTCAATCTATATTGTATCTACGCTTCATTAGATCGAGTTACCCGATACGAGATACATTCTAAAGGCGAAACATACTAATTATCATAGCGATTTTCTCGGTTATATTTTAATTATTTTTTTAACTAGTTATAATAATATTTAATATATGTTATCGATGTTATTAGTCTCTCGTTATAATTTAAAAAGACTAATTTTCGGTTGTATTATAACATTTTTTTTTTTTTGGGTTTTGAAAGCTCTATTAATTATTCTAATCGATATTTGGTATATTTTTAATAATGTTATATAAATTGAGTAGGTATTATAGTGTGGTAGGGTAAATAATTTTGTAATACATTATTCTGTTCACTTGGGACTTAGTCCTTTGAGAAAGGTTTACATTTATTAGCATTCAGAATATTCATTTATCCCCATTCATTTGCAGGGGAATTGTGAACATCATTTAAACATACTATTTAACAAATTTCATTTATATTTCATAATCATATACAATTTGGTTAGGTATTATTGTACTATTTTATTAACGTACTATTAACCAATATCATTCGCAAACTAATTTAACATTGAAGTAGCTTTTATACGTATTTGTGCAATAGTTTACTAATCGTTTAACATTGTCGATTTAAAGAATAAAAAATATAATGTCTTAACATTTTTTTTCAAAAAATTTTTGGTTTAAAAATAAAGTATTATATGGAGTTTCCTACATTAATTAATGTAGTATCTCGTATGCAAATTGTATTCTAGATTTTTGTCTAAGCACGGAATTTATTTATTAATAATTATTTTTTAAAAAAGTATTTTTGTTTTTTTCTGTTTTATCCTTATTTATTGTACACGTTAAAGCAAATAAAAGTTTATAAAATAATTTTTTTGGTAGTTAAAAATACATTCATTAAATTTTCTATTTTTATACTTTAGAGTTTAGACTTGGAAATTAAATGTAAGTTTTTAAACACTTGAATTACTTGTAAATAAATTGATAAATAAGAATTTAGGTTTTTGTATTGTAATGTTATAACTTATAACTCTACAATTTATATTAATATTATTAATCAAAAATATATTAAGTATTATACCTCTCTTTTTTACGGTACCTCTTTTAAACTTTACCTTACAGAATTTTAAAAATATCACGTTTAAAACGGTTTCGTGTTAGTTTAACGATTTCATAAAGTTCAATATTATTAAAAGTGCGTAGTAACTAGTAAGTACATGCTGCAAACTATAAAATATACAATCATATGAGAATATTGTGATTTTATAATAGAATAATGTAATATTGAACGGCAGATGGTTTTTTTTTAGCTCTGTGGATTTATACCCTTTATTTATATATGTGTGTGTGTGTTTGTGCTCTGCTTACTGGGTCGAGAGTAATTTGGTGCAAATAATGTTAGAAGTTTTTATGGTTGAAAAGTAATATCTGCAGTCTGTACACGGGAGTTAATAATAATTCAGTAACCGAATAGAATTTTTACAAACACACTGTCGGTAACTATACCTATCTATATTTTTATTTTTAGATAATAATAAATAACTTTGTTCGAATGTCAACCTTGTTATTATTTTTATATAATCATAATAAAACAGATCCACATAATACAATATAATATTTTTATTTAGTAAAACGTGAACCTTTTTTTTTTCTGGAAAGTTTCAGGCAGACTTTTGTGTATCAAGTTAGTAGTTACGTTTATACTATACATCATAATGTTCTCTGTATACTTACTAGATACTATATAGTATATAGATAAACGTGTCTGATATTTGCAGTTTTGCAGGTAAACTAACTAGTTAAGTATAAAATCACTAATAATAAATAGTATAAGGTATAAATCTACAGTTACTAAATTTAAAAACTCATGAAAGATAATGTTTTAATAATGTTCTTGATTTATTGTGCTTACACACGCGCACACACACCGAAACGATTAACGGGGTTTGCTGAAGGATTACGTGTGAGGTCAATGTAAAACAGGATTATATGCAGTGATGGTCGATCTACCGGAAGGATTATCCCAAATTAATTCAACAAACAAATTTAAAAAAAAAGGTTTTGAAGTTGTTTAATTTTTTTATCATCGGTTTTTATAATATAACTATAACGTTGTGTATGAACGGCGATCCGTGGATTTAATGTCTAGATTAGAATTGAGCAATTTCCGGGAACGTAACTTGGTAAACATTTCTGGAAATATTGAACAATTCAAGAGAATAAATTATTATTTATTGATAATTAATAATTAATGGGGTATTTTAATTAGATATTCAAATGTTTCGACATTATATATCTTGTTTATTTATAAGTAAAAAACAAAATTTAATGTAACTTTTTTTTTAATCGATCAAAATTAAACAATAAAAAAAAAGAGAGAATTGTGTCTTTGTGCATCGAACATTTTAATTGTAATAATACGATATGAAATATTATTTATAATAAAAGAACTTAGATTAATTAACTTTAATAAATTAAAATTCAATAATGTTAACCCAATTATGATATATATTTGTGTACAAATTTTCTTAAGCATGTATTAATTTAAACATCAGATCGAAAATTAATAATAGTTTATTAATATAATTTTGGAGCGATTTGTATTTAAATACTTCATTTAGATACTGGCTAAGATATCTATTAAATAATTAGTATAAAATATAATAATAAAGTTGTGATAATAATGTTATCATGATATAATATTCACAGTGTAAAATATGTTTCAATGGTGATTTCTGTTGACCTTTGATAAATGTATTCTGTCTTACGATATCGATATACGTGACAAAAAAATCGAAGGATATTTTCAATTTAAAACGTCCCGACTGATAAATAATAATTTATTTTTGAAACATTAAAAATAAAAATAAAAAACATGAATCATGAAATATCTAACAGATTTACGTAGGTATACCTTATATACTCACTGTGATTATTCTAAATATAGTCCGCCAACATTCCACAACCCCGTGCGACGTGCCTATTGTGATCACATCATTTTTTCGATAATATTGTAAATTTTAATATTATTTTACTATTACCTATTTAATATTTTAGTAATGCGTGTCGATGAATTATTATTTCGCGGCCCCTACGGACGTTTTCATTCCTCGCCGTGAACTCTTCGAACATCTATTCAATATAAGTTTTTTGTTCGATTTGATTACGCAGAGGTAGACAGATCTGTCAAAGCGCGCGTTTCGTCCGTACAACGTACGCCGCAGAGACTGTTGTCCACTGTGTTTTCTATATCGCGGGAGTATACCAGTATAAAGGTTAAATTTTGTGCAGACAAACATTGACAGTAGTAAAATGAATTATTATCTAGTGATGGTAATTTTGTTTTTATCCGTAACAGGCTTATGTTTTATTAGGTACGCGTCGCATGATCGATGACCATCGGCCTGCAGCGGGCAGCGGCGATGACACGAGTCGAAATAAATTTTTGAACACAAATCCGTATCGTAAAAACCGATTTCAGATTATTTAAATTCGTTTAATAATACCGGAAAAATGATTGTTAAACTCGATTTTTCATAATAATATGTTTTATTGCGTTACATTGGTATGGAAGTTTTTTTTTTACTGACTATAGAATGAAGAAACCTCCAAAAATATATTTTGCTCAATCATAACATATTATAATAATTGTGTCGATTCGTTGTGGCCTAATCTTTAAAAATTTAATCAAACGAACAAAATACTGCTCCTTTATGATAATGACTGTGTTCAATGTTGTGTACTGGCCGAATTTCAGTACGTCGAAAAAATCAATTCTCGCGTCACACAGTTGCTTGAGCAATGTCCATAATTTCATACACAGTTATTCACATGTATGACTTGGGTCAACATTCTCTTGGGACTTCAACCATTTTATTGTGACGCTGTCCACCTCATTATTTAATATTATAACTTGCAAGTTATAGAAACGTGACATAACTCTTGTATGCTTCTAAAATCTGCTTTTAATACATATACTGAAGGTATATAATAATTACATAATGAAACTATTTAGCTTTATTATTTATAACCCTATAAAGTTAAGGGGCACTAAATCGTATACTAAGCATGTTTCAGATAGGCATACCACATTAATAATTATATGATTCACTATTATCATCATAGTTATAAGTTATTATTAAATCGCTCATTCTTTGATATATTATACTGTACAGTGTACAGGGTGTTTCATCCTATTTGTTTTTTCAGGTATACAACGTTATTCCCTGTCAATTATATTTTAATATACTCTAATATAATGATTTGAATATTTGCAGTATTCTGTTTCAAGTTAAAACTTACATATAATGTCAATCGAATAATATTGTTAACAAAAACCTAATACAGCTTTTGAAGTTATAATAAAAATTATGTCTTTATCAATTATTGGAATTGTTTGATTACTGTTTAGAGTTTAGGTACCTAAACTAAAAATTTTTTATACATTTTAATATTTTATAGACTTACTAGCCCGGGATTTTCTCATCAAGTAATAATTTTCAAAAATATGAAGATTAAATTGTTTTTATTTTTTAAATGCGATGATTTGTTGTGCGTTTTAAATTTTAGATTGTAAGTAATCACTGTTAGTTTAAGTGATTAACTACAATTGTTGAATTATTTATAGGTATATTAATATGAATATCGATGTAATTTAAACAAAATTAACCAATTTTTTTATTTTTATTTTCGTTTTATTTCGGTTAGTATTTTTATATTTGAATACGACGCGGTATTTTAAATATTAAAAATAAATAAATACAAAAAGTGATAAGCTTATTATATAGTATCGTTTATTTTATGTTGTAACAAGAAGGTTAAAAAATAAACACAAAATGTAGTTGGATTAAAAATATTTTAATTTTAAAAGTAAATAAAATGATGCATTTTTCGTTCATATTGAATAAGTATGGACAGAGCGAGAAAAATAAAGCATTATGGATGGGGTTTCTATGAGTATTTTTTTTTTTTTTTATAAACACTTAATGAAATATATCTCTTCTTAATTTATTTTGTATTGCATATTTATATGGTAATTTAACTAATGTCAAAACGATTGATTACTTTGTTTCCTAAGGGACTTACAAACCTTTCTTATAAAACAATTTACCCGTACTTTGATATATTGTGCAGCGTAATCTATCCATTATTTTTATAATTTCTTTTATTAATACAAGCTCTAAAAAGTTTTTACAACGATTTAACTTTGATATTCAAGTAACAAGAAATTACTTTTAGTTCTCAAATAATGTATTTTTGATCGTCCTATTTCGCTCTGCCCACCTACATTTAAGGTCGTAATGTTTCCAACGAGTATTATCTGTTGGTGTTCAACTGTGAATTGGCTATACACAAGTGTGTACTTAGCGTAGTTTAAATGATTAATAACTACACAAGTTTGAAGTTTGTTTTCATTGTGTTTGTGTATAACCTATACATATATCACAGCTAAATCTAAACTCAACTACATATAATATAATAATTATTGAGGTAACGGTTAAGATATAATATTTTTTTATAAACTTATAACGATCTAGCATTGTAAAATTGTGGTCAATAACATAAGAAACAATAATAAATATGACGCGAACGTCAGTTGTGTGCATGGTATGTCACCAGCGGATTTTGTTTTCGGCCCTTTCGTAGGATTCGTGTGATGTTTGCGGGTGATCGTTACCACTGCATTCGTTTGGTTTGTTGGCACGGTCATGTTGCAGTACATGTCATCGCAGCAGGATACGCACACCTGTAAATAAATTACTGTGTTTAATGAGTTTTTAAATGTATTGTTCACAAAATTTTGATTAAAATAAAATAATTGCTATCACATTTTAACATCGCGAAATGATGGTTTTAGCCATAGGCGTGATTTCGTTGAATGTTAACTGCAGGAAAACTGGAAAATCTTTGGTCGCAAGTATTTTTTTTCAAATTATACTCGAAGAAAGTAAAATACCTATATCTATACGAAATCACTTGTTCGCTTGAGGTACCTTTTATTGTTTTTTACCAAAATGAAGCTACTGATACTTTTATATTTGTTCGAAATACACATCATTAAATTAATTTAAAATAAATAATAAAACGACAACTAGCATTGACTAACCAAGTGGTGATCAATGGACGATAGTCACGCGTGTCGCCCTTATACGTTGGAAAACTGTGCTAACTATCATAATAAAATGAAAAATGTTTCGGGCGTGTCCGCGGTGCTACGATACTACGTACATAGTTTGACCTTAAATTTGCAGAACATTCAAGTGCAAGATCTTACAACCCCCAGATTTTGCCTATATCTATGGTATTTTAAATATGTATATAATGTACGTACAGTAAGATTTATATTTTATAGAGAAAATTAGTTTTAACAGCGCCTGTATGTAAAAAGTACGTTATAGTACCTGTATGTCTTCTTTGAATGAGTAAAAAAACATAATTTAAATAAGACTTTCACTGGATTATTTAAGAAAAAATTATATATATGCATATAGATAGATATACTTTTAATGGAATTAAGGTATTGCCGTATTGATGACAAAAATAAGGTGAAATCATAATATTATAATTATATACATGGGCAACTGTGAAAATTTTTATTAAACATAAACTTTGTAAAATAATTTAGACTCGTATTTATATTAAAATAGGTAATATATTGTGGACCTTATGGTTTATGTATATAATTTAAAGAAGAGGATATTAAATAATTTTTCCTTATCAATTATTTAATTTAATTATAGGTACCTACTTTTTTTTTTTTAAATTAAGCATTTATTATATTGCAGTTTATTATTATTACTTACCTATTATGTACGTAAATAAACTATCATATTTTTTAAATTTAAATTAGTTATTATTAAAATAAAAAGTTCTTAAACAATAAATAAATAGGTAGGTAAATAATATATAGCATGTTAATTTATAGAGTTTAAGAGGATTACTTAACCTTTATTATTTTATAACATTTAAATTCAATGTACCTATAAAGGTTTAGTCAGGTAATAACAGTTCATACATGATAATACAGATATTCACATTAAGTAATATAAAATATAAATATATATATATAATACATCATTAATTGTTGTTTATTGTTTTTTTATTCTTTGTTTATAGTGCAGCAGTTTTACATTGTGAATTTTAAATATCAAAAAAAAGAATTCTTGATTGATAAGAATATGTAAAATTATTTTTAGTAGCACTTTATTAGTTAAATTGTATCAACAGTCGAAATGTATCTGATGTAGAATTTAAGAAGTGTATATTATAGTGAATAGTGATTGATTAAAATGAACAATGGACAAACATCACAATGGAGTTTTTTTTTTTGTATTTCTTCCGGCCATCTATTTAATGTTTAAATCCCATCCACAACATCTTACCTTTCCATTTTATTTTATCTCTTGACATTACATCGATTTATTATTATTTTTGTCTCTTTAAATCAAATGTATCACGCTTAGTTTCCATTCAACGCCCACTGAATGTCTAGACCATATTAATTTTTATCAACACAAACGGTTTTTCATCTACGTTTATAGTACTCTACGGTTTATGCCGAAACGTTCGAATTAGTTCCGAAACGTACCTACAAATTGGTTCCTGGGTTGTTAAAAATTGCAGCTTTTGTTATTTTTATTTTAATTAAAAAATATACAATAAACATGAATAAACATAATATCCTTTTTTTTTTTTTTAATTCATACATTTCTCTTTTTTTATAAGTATTATGTGAGGTAAAAAAATATTAACAACATTTTGTATACATTTTAATCTATTAATTTCATTATTTTTATATTTGTCTATTTCTGTTTTTAAATATTTCCTTATTTTTAGACTTAGATTCTGTAATCTGTTTGTATTTCACAGTTCTATATGTTTTAATTTTAATTTATTTTAGTATATCGATGAATTAAAAGATGTTCAGATGTGCAGAATAGATAAGCAACTATTGAACTTGTGAAATAATTCACAGTAATTAGTTGTCCGTTCTATGCTACTTGTATATTCAATCTATATTGTCGGTGGATATGAGTTATCTTTTTTAATTTAATTTTCTAATATATAATCTTAGAGAATTCTTCGAGGTTTTAATGACATAAAATCATATTAGTATTTCAATCGTTAACTTTTTTGGGCGATAATAAGGATACGTCTAAAAACAATTTTAATGTTGTCCTATTTCGAAATCGTTATTTTTAAATTTCTTTGAAAGCCTTAATTTAATTTCTGTATGCCTGTATCTTCCTTAACCATGCTTGGCCCAAGTGAAATTGATAACCTCTTAATTGAACTAAAGGTCATACTTTAGAGATCGTTATATGAATGGTTATTTTAAAGTCTGCATATATTTTATCCTAGCTTAAATAATTTTTAATTAAACGAAAAGCTTTTGTATACGTATTGCTAAGTTTCATTTGAAGAAAAAAGAAAATTAGAAGGTTATAGTAGTGATTTTTAACACCATAAATTGAAAAACTTGGTAAACATTTTTTGGACAACTTTTAAAACTACCGTCAATAAACACAGTTTTTATCTGACATAATATTTTCATCTACTAATTTTTTTTTTTTAATCCAAATTTATAACATTTTAATACGATAAGTCGTTAATTTATTTATTTTTATCACTGTTAATAAATTCTATATTCTAGGAGTTTTTAACGCAAACAAAAACGTAAATTATGTTGCGTTCCGTTGAACAAAGCCGATTCATATGTCCACGCGAAAATGATAATACTGATATATTAAGTACATAAAAAATCTTTATTTAATTTATAAAAATATAAAAATACACTAATGTAAGTACAAGATGCTTGGTGAGCGGTGTTCCGACCTGACTCTGAAATTATTGCTAAGACAAGAGTGTGAGTGGTGTTACGATTGGCCTCAGAAATACTGATAACCAAGACAGTGAGTGGTGTTACGATGTGCCTTTAGGCGTCTTGGATATCTCTGTCTGATGAGCTCTGGCTCATGTTGCCTTTATAAATGGTTTTCACATAATGAGAATTGGCGGCGAGGTGGTGACTTACAATGACACGTGCACCCTCGATTCGTGATCAGTGTTTTAGTAAGTGATAGCTCTTGTATTCTCCCCAGAAGCGATGTTTTCTGAGAAGTCCGCGGAGTGTAGTTGTGTTTTAATTGCTTAATTAAATAATCCAATGCTCAAACCATCCGTTCTGGCCTTTCATTGTCTGTGTCATTCGCTACGCGGATCATGTGTCACCTCGTTATGTGAATACATGTGTTATAAATTATCGATATTATTACATAGTCCCGGAATGTATAAGTATTACAATAAAATATTCAATATTATTACAGGGCTTGTGATATAAATTATTAGCGTTATTACAGGGTCCGTAATAATTCAATCACTATATGCACACTTAGTGGTTATTGCGACGCGTTACTGAATGTCTGAATGTCGTATCGACTAACGAGTAACGACCATAGATATCCGTCAATATTGATAATGATTATTGATTTTATTATGGTTTTTATCAAAATGATAAAATATTTTGTATGTGTTTATAATCATGGAAAATATGTTATAATAATAAATATTGAATCGTATTTCGTTTTTTTCTTAAGTCTTTATCGGGAACCAATCCGGATGTGTATCTTGAAATGTCGGTAATCGATTTAGATGTCAATCTTCAGGTATGGAGATCAATTCGAAAGCAGCTGTTTATGCTACTGCCATCGTTTATTTTTACCTGTTATATTTATATAAGAAAGTAATGACTATTTTATCAATATACAAGCATTATTTTAAGTCACTGACCATAATGCATACGTAATATAACTAGCTTTTAGTAGTTGGTATTTAGTATTTACCACCCTACCAACCATTTGTTCCTTCACCCATATCTGTTTTTAATCAATAAATTAATAGGATACGATAACATTTACATTGGTAGTTCATTAGAAAATTGTTACATTAGTATGGTGGGTATTTAGCTTACTAATTACTAAATCAATATAATTAATTGTAATGATATTGAGAATTATCTTCTCTCCTCCTACGTCACTTAGATCCACCACTGTTGACAGAATAATTCTTCAGTTAAATTCAAAATTCTAGGAAAATCGTTCGATTTTTCTCAATTGTTCCCAACACTTTAAAAATTCAAAAATTTGTCTTATTTAATGATAAATTAAATAAGACACAATGCTAATGATAAATTACACAATTTAAATATTTGATTATTATTAAGTATTACATAATAAAAAAAGTGTTAACGAACTAATAGGCTTTTTCTCACCTAAGTACATTAATTATGGAAACATTCTATATCATGTATATTCTTAAATATTTTATTTTTTAAAAGTATACGATGTAAAAAAATATACCAACGACGCTGACGCATTTGATAATACGTAACTAATACTCGATAGAATATATATTATAGTAGTTTAACTTACAGTCTGCCTGTCAATGCTTAGACAACCGACAGTGGACGGATGACATTCTGTTCGGTTAGCACATTTTTTGTTCACAATAACACTAGTTCCAGTCGAATCCATTATGTGCAATGTTTGGCAGTAGTCAAGATCTACGAACACATAAATTATTTCCATTGAAGTTTATAATTATAACTGATACATACCTCGAGCACATGGTTTATCAATGGCATATTGGTTGCATGTCAAATTGTCTGATACGTTTACGCAAGTGTAGCAAGTTAAATTTTCTGAAATAATTAAAGCAATCTATGAAATATGTAAGTACAAGATCTTTAAATAATATATCTTTTCATATCAGTTACTTTAATATCAGTCAGTATTCTGTACAATATTATTGAACATTCAATATTATTGTTATCACTATTTATTTATTTAGTAATTGTATGCCTTTAAATAAAGTGCATCGGGTCGGAGAAGCTGATGTATATGTTTTATAACTCGGTATACATAATAAACCTAATATAATGCATGTTGCAATTCTATTTCATAGTATGTAATTGGCTAGGACTCAAATTGGCCAAATTATATTTAAATTAGATTTGAAAACAATATGTGGTAGATGCATAGTATATATAAAATGTGTTTTATTTTGTTTTGTAAATTTGATAGTATCTTAAAAAATATGACCTACAGTCTGTTTATTGTAAGTTTATTTTATCTCATCAAAATTTAATTGTAAAGCATAAACCTCATAGTTAAAGCATATTAATTAAGTCTGTGTGAAGGATGTTTACTTGTTTGTACATAAAGTATCAAAATTCAAGCATAAATTGAGAATTAAAAAAAAAAAATCTGACAGTGTATTTTAATAGAATGTTTTATGAAAACCTAACGATGTGATCCATCAAATATAGCGTGAAAAAATTATATACCATAATAATTATAATAATAATTGAAAAGAAAATAATTAATAAAAATATTGGCATCATTGTGGCATTTTTTACCATTAACTTAGTTGTTGATAGATTTAAACAGTCATTATAAGTTCTGCAAAAAAAAATATTTTTAGAGTTTATTTTTTATAACTGATGGCATTTAAATTGGCAAGCTTAAAGTTTTCTATGTTCATTTAAATATAACAATTTGTGAATTTAAATATGGACAGTATTACCAGGGGCGCCGTATTATGGTGGTGGTGGTGGGGGGAGGTGCGGGGTGTCTTTTGCCGATTTTTTTTCCTATACCTTAATATGGTTTGGGCTTACAAAATCCGAGAAATTGGCCCGGTTGGTAAATTAAAGGTCCGAAGTAAAATTATTAATTTCATATAAAAGTATGAATAACACAATAAAACATATTTGTTATAAGTAGAAATTAAATTATTAACACTATTAACTATTAAGTATATTAAAATTAAAATGTGTAGAATATTCTATTATCGGTAAGAATGTTTTTAGAATGGACTTATTATAGCTGGCGATGCCCGACGTGGCAGGTTCTTCTAATTTCCAGTAAACATCTTAATTTTTATACCTATTGTATAAAAACAAATACGAGACAACTCGACGAGCTCTAGATATTGGAAACATGAAGCAAGTCAAATAAACTTAATAAAAGGCTGTTGATACGTTTGCTAAAATTAAGAATAAAGGAATTTTCTCTTATTTAAATTTAACTTTTAGTTTATTTGATTTATTGATTGTTGTATTATTTAATAACTAAGATTTTTTACATATTTTACATACATACATCTTACTGGTAAATGATAGTTATTACTTATTACTTATAATTATTATTTTATTATCACCATTAGTGCTAAATAATTGCTTAAATATTCTGCATCAAATATTTAACTTTAATTTTGTAGTTTATACTAAAAGAAGTCTGGTGAAAAAAATATTTCGCTAGCTTTAAATGACGACATCTCTATTTAAAACTTAAAATGGCGCCCCTAAGTAAAATAAGACATCAATTCTGATGTTAGAAAAAATATTATTATATTAAATTTTATCATACTAGTACGTATTGTTAGTTTTTAACCGTGATGTATTTGAGGGCTGATTGGTATAAAGAATACCATCACACTAAGAAAATTTAAAGTTTTTCTAAATGAACCTATTATTTTACATTATAAATGAAGAAATAAAGCTCAAAATAAATTTAAAAATCGATTTACTATATATAAATAATTCTTCACAGATGTGTCACACACACTCTATATGGGTTTTGTTTTCATTAAAAAATTAATAAAATAATAAATATTTCATGTTTTATTATTGTTTTAAAAACAGATAATTGATTATAAATTTTAAGAAAATGTTTACATATATTTTCACTATGCTTTTATTGTCTTTCGAGTACACCAGTTGAAGAAAATACAAACTAAAAGTATTTATTTTAGAATTTGTTTCAAATTAAACTTTATGATTTAAAACTATTATGATATTGAAAATATTTTATCTTAATCATTAAATTATTTTTGAGTCTAAAAAAAAAGTTTAATGAATTGTTTAAATTTATTGTATACTCGTATTTTAATAAATTATTGTAAAAACATTGTGTAGGATTCCGTATTCCATCTTAAGATTCTTAGTCGCGAGAGAATTGGTTTGACAACCATATGTTTTGACTTAAGTTTTTGGGAAAAAGTTTTTAGGGTAGTAAGACTTTTCAAAAGTTTCGTTTAACATATCTGTCGTTTGGAATTTAAAAGAAGTTGCATGGTAAAAAATGTGTATTTTTTTTGAAAAAGAAATAGTTTAAATTTACAAATATTTGCGCATTTGTTATTTTTGTATATTTACTTTCTTCTCGCGTAATGTAATAAGGTAATAAGTTAACAACATGATGAAGACTTAAAATCTTTAAAAGTATGTTTGTTCATTTAAACTATGGTGTATACAAATATATTTTGTGTTATAGCTTGTAAAATATATAAAAAATGTGTATCATTACAATAATACACAATATACTGTACAAAATACATAAAAGTTAAGTTACATTTAAAACAAATAAAGCATTGCTTTAATGTCTCTAATCAAATGTGTATTTAATGCATTTCTTATGTGATGTTTTTCATGTAAATCATGTGCGCATATTATCATTGCTTATTTTTTTACGGCATAAACATAAAATTAAATGGAATATTTAAGTTGTTTAAAGCAATCAAATCAAACATAAATTACCGGAAAAGTTGTATGTTTGTACAAGCATATAGAATTATCAGTGTATTAAAATATAATAATTCCTATGATGTCAAAAATATTTAAGGTTTTTTTTATTGAATTTTATGTTAAACAATTTTCTATGCGATTCGTTAAAAATATATTGATTTAAAATTGTCATTACACATTGTGCGTTGTGTATCGTGTTTTCCTCGGATTAAGTGTGAGTGTGTGACAGATTTTAGAGAATGCTTATTTGAATGTTTGATTAGGGTTTGTAATTTTTTGTTAATAACCTGCCATTATCTACAGCTAGATATTTCAAAATGGATTTACATTGTTTACCAGTGAATTACCTTCTGTCATGTTTTGTGTGAAAACTTCGGACATTTTGGTATCGGGACTCAGCGGTCTGGCTACGCATCCAGATAACAAGGCCCATCTAAATAGTGGTACCATCCACGGGCAACCATGAGGCATACCTCTGTATGACCCCAAACATTACCTAAAACAATCAAGAAAATTATTTTTAGATTTTCAGCATAATTAAAGTAAAGTATTTATTTAGATTTTCAATCATATATTTTTATCAATTTATCCGAATGTTTTTTTGTATAGAAATAAGTGTTCTGAAAGTTATAAAATATAAAGTATATTTAATATTATAAATTTTATTAGTTAATTATTTAAATGATCATAACATATTAATATGGATTCGATATTAATAAAAGCTTGTAGTTAAACAAATTACAAACAATTTCGGATAAAACGAGTATGCGTTTTTAACCATATATTATATGTTAAAAATTTTTAAAAATATAGTTTGAAATAAGTGGTCTGATTATCGACCAAAATAAATGTTCCATATAAAATATGTAATTTAATGCTTTATATTTTCTTATTACACTAGTGATGTCCTAATAGTGATATTTAAAGCATGCTGTATTAGTTTAATATTTTATTTAAATCAAATAAAAAAAAAGTTTAAAAACTAATTTTATTGATTAAATGTATTCACATTTATTAATTCAATAATAAAATAATAATGTTATAATGAAATATATTATCATGTAGTTTATAAGTAAAATGTATTATCTAAATATTTGTGTTTATTTATCTCTTTTAAATTAAAATTGTTCAATAACCAATACGTTGGGCATAGTGCTATGTCCGCATAATGTTTGGAATTATTCATGCGATAGTGTTTAAACTCAATATCATTCAATTAATCATGCAATTCACTAGAATATTGTTGTAGTTAGGTTATTTATTTTAGGAAAAAAATATTGTTTTTTCAAATATCAAATAAATATCATTCAGACACTTATTTTAACATTATAATTTATAGTTTTAAAAGTAGTTAAATTTTTTTGTTTTTTATACCAAAATATATTATCTGTGTATATTTTTATAAATATTTAAAAACATACTTATAACCATATAGTGATATGACCTTTTAAAAACTAAATTGAAAACTAATGAAAACCTAGTTTAATTTACTATAAAAAATATTTGTTTTTTGACTGCAGGTTAGATTAAATGCATTGACTGGTCGCCGTTGGTGACCTCTGATCCATGGTAGGCAATTTTAATAATCAAAATAAAATAATATTTTAAAATTTAAAATATATAACTTAACTTTGTTAATATTTTTGTGTTTTTTAAGCTTTAGCAACTAAGGGCATTAGCTTTGAGAGGATACTATAGGTAAGTTTGAGAGTTTTTTGTAGAGTTATGGGACATGTGCATTTATGTGTGTGCCATTGATTCATCGCTAAGAAATGTGGTAGTCTCTCATTCGAGAATTATCGACATCGGCTCATGCTTGACTTAAGAGAATATGTTAGTGACTGAGGTCAACCACCACGTAACATCAGGCTACATTAATATTTTTATTTGAATAACGAAATAAAAAAAAAAAAAACTACAAGGAAGTCATTAGAAGTATGCTATTTTGTTTTTATAAGAATGGGAATTACGTTGAAACTATTAGTATTTTTTTTTTTTTATAAAATTAAATAATTTTATCATATCCTTAGATGATATGATAATTAATAAACACGCAATGAATTATTGTAGAAAACTATGCATTTTTTTTCAAGAATTCCTTAATAAGTTAGTTGACTATAGACTTGTAGTGTTGTATCCAACATTTTAATGGATCCAAAATTGAATGAAGTGTTTAATTGTTTATTAAGTATACTATTTTTCTAACAAAGTTATATTTAATAAATGTTTTCACTTTTCATAGACATTGTTTTTTTGTTTAATTTCATAAAATATGGTTATATTAAGTAAATTCCGAAAAAAAACATGTACCAAAGAAGCTATTGATTTTATAACGTGCACTTTTTTTATTTTTAAAATATTACTTAAAAAGCTTAAACAGTTTCATACTTTGGTCAAATATCTTCAGATTATAAAATGAAACACAAAAATAAAACCTACTTAACATTTTCAAAGGTCAGTCTATTTTGAAAAGTTCTAAAAAGTAAAATACTTATAAGCCAATCAACGTATGCCTTGACTATTTTAAATATTTGGACAGCTAAGAATTGATTTCAAATGTAATGATTTTTGATTGCTTTTAGAGCCAAAGATACTTGACTTATATGTGTTTGCTTTTTGGTAAAAACTAACTACAGTAAGTATTCAAAAAAAATAAAGTAGTAATTTCGTCCTTTATCGAATTAAAACTATATACTCGTAGACCGTATTTAGTTGAATAAAAAGTGATTTTTTGAATGTTAGTCGGCTTTTACATTAAAAATAAATCCAATGCAAAATATTGTGAAAGTTACAAGAAATTCATTTCAAATAAAATTAATTTTATTGTTATACTTATAATGCAGACAAAAGTTCATATATTTTTTTTTATTAAAACACTCACATTGAAATATAAATCATGTTATAAACTCGGCTTTGTTTGGATTTTTATTGCTTTCCAAATGAAATGTATGATGATTTATTAAGGATATGGAATTTAAAAAAAATATATATATTTATAATACGTATTATTTTCTTATAACGTAACGAAGAGACATTTATGAAAAATGAGCAATATTTGGATATAGGTATCTTTGTATTTTGAAAATATTGATATTTTTCAACGATAATAAAAATTTTCTGACGCGTCAATTTTTTTCAAATTTGTTTTCTGTTAATGTAATCAAACATTTCCTATCGAAGGGCTATGGATACGAAACGAAAGTCTTGGTCTTGAATGTTTCGTGAAGATTAACTATCGTTGTTGTCACCATCGCTGAAAAGTTTTCAGCAGAATAACCTCCTTGTATAATAGGTCGTCGAGGAAAACTAACTTCTCAATAATTTAAAGGTATAATGTGAAGTAAAAGTGAATGGAAGGATTTCGGCGACAGTTTGCTAACAGTTACACGTCGTTATTAGTTATTACCTTAGACTTTAGAGGGTAACTTTTGACCACGCGCGAGAGGACGGGTTTTTGTATACAACTTATGCGTACGGATACACACGTAAGTGTGTGCAATGTACATACACATTTACGGGAGCATACTCTTGAGGGTTGGTGCCATCGCCATTTAAAAAGCTCGGTTTATTGTTGAAAATGTCTACAGAACAATATAAAGCTGTTATCTCAGTGCGTACAGTATAATATCGCGTATTGTAAGAGAGCATTGTATCTGATTATAATATTAATAATACCTACTGTGGCATAGTACCGTGTTTCTGCTATACGAGCATACGCGTTCGCCAGGTCGGGATAATGAAAACACATGGTCGTCGCTTTTCTTTTGTTGTTTATTATGCGATGATAGCCATAACATTTTAATCTGTCCCACACTTCCCGGCCGACTTGCAGGTCATCTTTAAACGTTTCAAACTTTGTGTATTAATCGGGTCATCTGTTGTCGGTGAATTATTTATTGCCCCGTTAAAGCCACCTCCCGTTTTATCGTTTTATTATGTAAATCTTTACTAACCTCAACCCAATTATATAGGTAAACCCGTACAGACAGGTATAGGTATAGGTAGCGTGCATTAAATTATTGTCGCGTAGAGGTGTAAAATCTAATCTCGAGCCTTTGTTATGATGCAAAATTTGCTGTACACTTAATATTTATTATTTATTATTCATGAACGTGTTGCTAACATTTTACCAGACGACAGACAATATTGTGTATACTTTAATATTATGATGACGTATGCTAGACAAATATCTGCAATGACGGTTATTGTCAATACAGTTTTAAAGTGTCTATTCCAATTATAAAGTATAATATATAGATAATATATTATATGTACTGATAGTTTCCAAAATCTAAGTGTTCACTAATAAATTTTTTTTTAAATTGTTTCTTCAATAATTCCTATTAAAAGCGAACATTTTAGTATAGGAGTTTTATTCATTTTTAAAACTAGCTATCCTAGATTTTATTTAGAATCATGCACGAATTATGCAAATAGATTTAGGTACATACGATATGTGCTATTTTGTATCTACACCAACACGCATATTTTGGTGAGTTATATCTACTTTTAAACTAATAAGTGTATGAATAAATATTGTTTTGTAATAAACTATATCTTTCAGTAATATATTTTGATATACAATACTGCAGAATATAACAATTCGATTTCTAGTGTAGTTAGTTTTCCGTTCGATTTTTATTGCAGTCAGATAAATATTTTATAGATGTGCAAACATTAATTTATATATATATATATTTAAAAACATGTTAGTAACATTATCTGTTTATATCAATCACACAGTTTTATGGATTTACTACTCTATTCATTTTATAGCCAAGTTGTTTAATTTAAGTAAATATAGACTATTTCAAAACTAAAATTACCAAGAAAGTATTTATTTAGTGTTTTACGTACGATTTTTCATATGTTTAAACAACTTAATATATTAAAGAAATAGTCATTATTAATTTATTATTACCTTTAGCAAGGACATGTTGCTAAATTTGCCTAATTTAAAATTAGTATTTTGCCCAATAGCTCATAAAGTGAAAAAATTGATGAAGTGAAGTTTTGTTTGCTTAAAATTTGATGGACCAATAAGATAATAGGGGTATGGTGATATTTACATATACAACATAAGTGATCTACTAATTTATTATTATATATATGCATATATTATATTTTTGCGTAATATATTTATTTATAACTAGAAAGTTATGAAATATGAAAAAAGTTATAATTTTAAAAGTCATTTTAGTGTAAAATTTAGATAAATATTAAATATACTTATATATGATGTAATAAAAAAGAAATATGTTGTTAAATTGACATCATAAAATTCTTTAAAATATTTTAATTTCATAAAAATAAATAAGTATTTAAAAAAAAAAAATTTTTGAGTTTGTAAAATAGTTAAAAATATTATTTGATAGTACCTACTTTTATGGATTATGAATAATTATTAAACACAGACAATTCTATGGAGCTAACTTTCAGATTTATCATTACGAAAAATTTTCAAAATAATGGGTAAAGAAATGTTAGAAAACACGA